ACAGTGCCTTCTCAAACTAGTTTTGTGTCTAACTTGAATTTTCAAACTAATACCATTGTTTTAACTGTTCAAAAATAATCCCGATCTGGTGGGTTTAATGGTAGGGGTTTTGACAATGTACTCTTTATAAAATATAGCTAAAAGGAAGAATTTATTTAAACAAGATGTATTTTAATAATAACTGAGCCATCATAATTCTTAAAAACTACTTATTTAATCTAAAAATTAACCCACAAGCAGAGAGGAAACTGGGTTGAGGATACTTGGGATTTTTTTGAGAGTTCTGACAAGAGAAATTCCAGGATGATGTAGGTATTTCTCTGCTGCTTGTCTCCCAGTTGGATAAGGAACTACATTTGTGCCTTGCTTATCTTTTTCACCAGAACAGCATACCCAGGAACTGGCTAACAGGTGAGACAACAGGTATGACTTCAGCAGTTAGGGGTGTGATGACAACAAAAATTACTTTTGAGATCCGATGCTAGGCAGATGCCCTTCAGCACTGAAATATGCACAAATCACCTGCATGTAGTTTCACAACTCCTGACTTGTTAATTTTGCCACACTGATCTCACTGTTGGATAAAATTGCTGTTTTAGTCTTAAAGCAGAGGAGCAACTCAAAAGTCAAGGTACTAACCAGAGCCTGAGGGCACTGTGTGGGAGATGGAAAGAAAAAAAAGATGCATTTTACTGATGCTTTCTTTGTTGCATTACAGCAATGGTCTTACTGAAAAGATCTCGAACACCTATTTTCAAAGCAGATCGACCTTTCACATTTTTCCTGAGACAGGCTAATACAGGTATGCATGCTCTGCCTTTCAGGAGCAGAATCCCACACAGGTAGCACTGAAATCAATACAAATATCATGCCATTCTTCAGTATAGGAAACTTCAAACAATCACAGAACCAGTGGGGATTTGGGTTTTAAAGCATAGATTCCAATTTCCTTAAAAAGATTGTATAATAGTCACAGAAGTCTAGGAAGCCAGATTAGCCTCTTCTCTGGACATGCAGTATGTGCTCAAAAAATTTCTATCAAAATTATAGGCACTAGAGAGATCTCACAGATGCTGAACATTCCAGCATCAGAAACTGATCTCTACAGAGGAATTCAAGTTACAAATGGGCTGTACCAGCTGGATTAACATCTGAAGTAGTTAAAATAGAAACCTTTCCCTATAAAGGAAACTTAGCCATGGCTATACTGATAGCAAACAGACTTCTTCCAAAAAATGTTTCTTTGCAACTGTTAACTCTTTTCTTACAAATGACTTCCCCTAGCCCCCAAACAAAAATCACCCAAAAAACCCAAACAGAACTGCAGAGCACGTCTTAGAGTGAAGCATCACGGCGTTCCTTTAGCTTCAGTAGCGCATTATAAGTCTCATTTCAGATGTCCAATCACATTAAGTTACTCCAGAATGTCTGCCAAAATAAAACACCCTATAGCTTGTTGGCAGTAACAAAAAACTGCATCATTCACCATTTAGCAGATATTTGCTACTCCGAAGCATCAGGCCAATCCAACAACTCTTATCATTCTTAACAATGCAGTCATTTTGCACCTGAACTATTTTCCTACAAATTGTTCAAACCACCACATTTCTCTCATAACTGGGGTCACAGCCATTTAGATTTTCAAGGAACATACAGACATTCATAGGGTTCAGTAAAACATTGGGGCCTAGCACAAAGACAGAAATAATCTCCCTTATCTGCTTCCAAGCAACACACACTGTTCTCTTAGTCAGTGAATACATGTGTACGCAACATTTTGTTTTAAAAACCCGTATCGTGGATTTTGACCACAGTGCAAGCACCCAAAGAGAAAATTACTGCCTTGGTTGGAATTTTGCTTTAAATATGCTTTGGAAATCATTACCAGTCAATGAATAAAAGTATTTTACTTGGCAAATGCAGAATTTTAAAACAAAAAGGCATTAATAAGCTCACCTATGAAATATGAGCCACAGACTCTTCAGGATTAAGAACGAATTTACTTCAGTGAATAAAATGGCCAGTTTACAATATATATATAAATTATATAAAGAGGAAGGAAATCAGATTGTAAAACAGGATTTTTATGTGAAGCATAAACTACATACCTTCCAATCAATTCAAAATCAAAAAATATATTTCTGTAATTCAAGCTTTTTAATGTAAAAAGTGAAAACATTCAGTCATTTCATTTGCTCAGGCTCAGTGATTCAAGTTTTTGAGGTATGGAAAATTTGAACAGGTAAACAAGATCTATTTTTCATCCACCTGTCTAAAAGTGCTTAAAACTTCTATGCCCATAAAGTTCTTAATGAATCTTTATGTAGACCAAAGTATTAATTGCATCAATTTTCTAGTAATAGCAGAAATATGTTTTCCAACACTTAAAACAGCATAGTTCTGTTCAAAATAATTGAAAAACTGAGATTTTTTTTAATCTGAATTTCAGGTTTAAGCACATTCCCCTTGAAGTACAGGCAAGGTAACACTACAAATAATCAAACAAATCCAGTCAGCCTGAGGCAGTAATTTCATTCTCTTCTGTGACTAAAATATGAACACAAAGCAATGAACTTAGGTTCTGTTTTGCTCAGTGTAAGTTTCAGATTTTGGCAGGTTCCTGGTTTGGACTACCAATTATTTGGAAAGGTGTTTTTAATAGAGAAATGTTTAGATTATTTTAAGACAAGCATGCAATTGCAGTCACAGTTTTTCCATGCAAGCAATGAATGATTCTATGATCTGCTAGCTCCATGCCTAACTTATGTATTTAAACTGTGCTGCACCCAGAAAATGTGGCCCCAAACTGAAATAATATTAACATTGTTTTCATTTACAGGTTCAGTACTTTTTATAGGAAGAGTTACAAATCCTTCATAATAGGCACTAAATGCATATACTGACTTCTGCTCCTCCTGTGATGAGCTTTCCTCCAAAGAAATTAAAGGCTACATTGTATGTATTTATTAAAACACAGTTTCAAGCATACTGCTTTCCCAAGAATCTCCACTAACTTATTACATAGTCGAGTCTGTTGAAACTTAGAGCTGTCTAGGAATCATCAGCACCACAACTACAACAAAGACAGTATCCAAAAAAACATTTGCAAAAAAAGGAACAGGTTTAGCCTCCTAAATGTTTACCAATATGAGCCAACAGCTTCTCTTCAACTTCATCATGGCTAAAGCCAGCTTGACTGTTGCTGAGTATGTAGGCCATTTGAATGAAAACAACCCACAAGAAAGCTTTGTGATATTATTTTTCAAGCATAATTTCATCTCCCTGACCTGAAGTCCAAAGCTTAAGAATAAAACTGAAATTCAGTCTGACCTCAGACAGTTATAACCCAGCTGATATAGAAGGTAACAAGCAAGCAGTGAAATGCTGTGAAAAGACAATCAAGTTGATAGGCTGCTCCAAAACTAACACAGAATCATAGAATCATTATGGTTGGAAAATACCTCTTAGATCATAGTGTCCAACCATTAACCCAGCACTGCCAAGTCCACCACTAAACCAAGTTCCTAAACACCACACCTACACACTTTTTGAACACTTTCAGGGATGGCAATTCTACCACTTGCCAGGGCAGCCTCCTCCACACAGAGCAGGTAAGAAGCAGAAATATCCACTCAGTGGCCAAACAAATACTGCTAAGAGGCAGCAGTACTACCTCAACTGCCTTTGGAGCGTACACAACATAGAACAGACATTCCAGAAGAACAACGAATGTGACTACTGACATAATATAAAATGAGGGGTGGTTTTTAGCATCCTGACAAAAGCTGGGATATGGCAAGTGTTCAGCAACTCATGGCACAAGCATCAGAAATCCAGGCCCATAAAGGTTTTGGGTGAAGACGGCAAACCACTGACTCCCAAGGAAAGATCAGAGAGGACTGTTTTACTCCTTTCCCACTGAATCCAACAAAGACTTGCAGATAACCCAGAGCATCCAGCACAGCTGAAAGATGTGGCTAGCAAAGCAGTCAGTGATATTTTGTGTCCAGGGAGCAGCACCCTGTAGCTGCTCCCACAGTTGTAAACCTGTAAAATCTTCTGACACAGAAAACCTCTGTGCAGCCTTCCTCAAAGGAAGCCTTCCTCAAACGACCCCTGCTTTACTGCGGTGTATCCCTCAATAAAACTGCAGGGTTTGTCATGGCTACAGATGTGCTTAATAAACATCACTTTGTTTTGCTGGCCACCAAAAGTGCAAACTACACAAGATATCCTACTGTAGCTGCAATTCAGCATTAGCTCTCTCTCACTCACTCTGATTAAGAGCAGAATATAGCAGTGATACAAAACCACTCTTCATTCTTTAACACTGATACCAGAACACAGAAGCTCTGGAAAGGGAAAACAAATAATTTTGATAAAACCAGTACTCAAACTGACACAAAGATTAAAATAGAGATTTTATTGATGGAATAACAAAAGTGCTTTTCTTAAATATTTTTCAAAATACATTTATACAACTTACAATAATATATCCAAAATAACTGTATATACAAAACATTACCTTGTTTAATGCATGTGCTTTTTTTTTTTTGAAAATTACAAAGCAACTTTTTGGCAAAGTTCAACCTTAAGAGGTGATAGTTTTGAAGGTTAGATTAAGAAAAATAGAACCTGAGGGCAAGTGACACTTATGTCCATGACAAGCAAGAAGTTCTCAATTTAGTTAAATAAAAACGTTTTTGTAGTATTTTTCACATTACAAAAATAACAGAAGTGAAGAAAAAAAAAGGATGATTGATACTTCTTATCATTTTATTGAGCAGCTTCTCATTATTTCAGGTACAGGAACTTGAGATAAGAGTGCATGTCAAAAATGAATGCAAGTAAGAACAGCAGTGCCCTGCTGTGGCTCTGTCAGGTGCAGTTTCTTAGCTGCTCTTGATATGGTTGACCTGATTGGATCTGCGATGGATTTCTTCCAGAAAACTCTCAAGCTGTTCTATCAGCATTCGTTTTTTAAACCTGAATTTAAAAGAAAGCATTACAATGGATGCACAGAGTAATACATGAAACATCACTGACAAAACTTTTACTCAGCTCTGGAAACTTCAGTTACTACTTCAGGAGCAGTGTATGATGAGGTATACGTATACCTCATTTGTATACATACACTGTCTCCTAACATTCTGGTAAACCACTAACTTGCTTTTCCATTTGCTGAATACAAAACTACATTTACGAGAGTTTATTATAGCTGAACATCACTCAGCTCTCAGAAATCCAGGAAAAAGACACTTAAGAGTTTGTTGCTTCCAGAAGAGAAGTTCTGAAGCACAGAAATAAAATGTACTTCAAAAGAACTATAATCCTAAAGCTGGCAAACAATTTTAGGGATTATTTGCATGCCTTCATGATGCATTCACCCATGTTAAAGTTGGTACTGGTGGAGGAACAGCCATTACACAGTGCAAAGCAGATTTCCTGACACACAACACAAATTAAAACTTTGAGAAAGAAATTAAAGGAAAATACAGGCATCCAAACTCTGTATCTCTGGAGTCTCTGCAGCTATTCCATATCAGTTGTATAAATTTGATCAGCAGACCATTCTGTCACCTTTGCTTACACCCCTACCTCAGGAAGTACAACTCCTAGCTGTTTCCACCTAACCCCTCCCTCGTGCAACTATTCCATATCAGTCGTATAAATTTGATCAGCAGACCATTCTTACACCCCTACCTCAGGAAGTACAACTCCTAGCTGTTTCCACCTAACCCCTCCCTCGTGCAACATATCTGCACCACAGAGAAGCCACTTCTGACCAATGCTTTGGTAGCCATATGTGTGTTCAAAGACAGGCAGCAATGAAAATATTTTGCACTATATCCCAAATTCAGTCCTGTGACTTCACTAAACCCCAGCAGAAGCTTCTAGTTCTAGTCAGGAATCCTGGTCCATGCCCTTGGCTCACAGAGACATGGTACCTGCCCTAATTTCCAGATCACAAGCCTCCCCAGAATCCCTTCTGCATCCAAGAGCAACACTCAACCACTGCCAAATTTTGTAGAATTGTCAGCTAAAGATGGCTGGAATAAAGAGACTGTGCAAGAGAAATGAGAGTTACAGGTGATCTCAAAAGCCTAATTTTACAGCATAAAAATTCCAACCCCACTAGGGGCTGCCACAAACTCCAAGAGCAACAGTATTGTTACGGTGTGCTGTGACAGTGAGGAAGAATTATAATTTGCAACATGGGGAACAACTCTGACAGGCAATATAACAATCAAGAAAAGCACAATACAGCAATGGTTGCTATAGGAAGAGAGCACAATCTACATGAATTTACATGCCCCACCAAGCTGGCAGTAGAAGGCCAGAGGATCTGTGTGAATGTCCAACATCCAGCATACCTTGAGAGGTACGGTTTTCTCCTAAAATTATTTCATTTTTAATAATGAAATTTGCTTAATGCCACAGGAAAAGAGCTGACTACTACAAAACAGATTAGAGAATAAGAAGCAGCTATTCTTTGAGGTTTCCAAAGTAAGCCTCAAAGGTCTGGTTATTTACGATCCTTGCAAGATCCTGGAATTACTCATTCCCTGCAACTCAAACACTATTGGTTCTAATACATTTCTCCTTTTTTCCTCTCAGTAAGCACGTAGAAGGCTAAGTATGGACACTCTAAAGATACTGTAAGGAACAGTTTCTACCTGGATGAAAAACACAGGGTTTAAATCCTTATCAAGTCACTCTTCTTCAGAGAAAAGCCACCTCCATTTCCAAAGTCCCAGACAGGACTACGCTATCTCTGAATGAAGTATGCTGAAGACTAGAGACATCTTTATGAGCATACCTGAAGTTAAAAACTATTTTTACGACAAGATTTTGAGCTGATGCTGTTTCTGAAAGCCTAATTCCCAGTAACTGGCAGCTCCATTACATTTTCAAATTAGCCATACACTCACCTGAACTTTCTTAATTGGAATTATTTTTTTAGTTGCCTTCTCTTTCTATACCATTGTCCATCTACATTCACAAGGATTTGGCAGTTACAGTTGCTAACATCCTTAAGCCAAAATCCAAGAGAAAAAGGTAAGCTTTTACAAAAAACACCTCAAGAAGCTTATGCATTTCTGCTCTTTCATGGGGAATTATTTACTTGCAGTGAAAAGCATTGTTTTCAAACAATTGTGTGATTGTCCAGCAATTATACGTGGCACAACATTGTGCAGTTTTGTAAGAATAATACAATCCTGTTACCTACCTCGAAGCTTCTTTTATAACATTCTGTAAAAATATCAGCCGGGTTTGTAAGCTTCCTTGCACATGCTTCAGCAAAAAGAAGATTCTTTCATATTCTTAAATGTCAAGAGAACAGAAACATCGGTTATTTAAAAGACGCCTGCACAGATATCTGTTGTAATAGCTTTGAGTGAAATGCAACATTCAATTTTTGTAAACTTTTAAGTTGTATCTCCTATCAGCTGGAGCAAAGACATCTTATTTAATGGGAACCAATAATAACAAATACATGGTATTGCACCTTAGGGTATTACTAGCACCTATCAAGTTAATTCTAGTATTGATATAAAAAACATGACTTGCATGAACACTAATAGGTATAGCAATGTTTTAATCACTTCTACAAGGAAGTTTTAAGCAGAGGTTTTAAAACAAATCTTTTCAGCTTTAAATTCAATTTTGCTTCAGTCTCAGTGTCCAGCACACTTCCAAAATAGTGATCTAACAAATTCTTTGTTTAACTCTCATGCCAATTATCTGAAAGAAATTCAGTATACTTACTCCTTCCTGGTTTTCGGATCTCTTTCATAATTTGTGCTCTTAGCTCTATATTAATCTCTCTGGAACTCCTGCAGTGCACTGGTTTTTTCCCTTTGCTAGGTGAAGACATTGTCAAGTTCTCTTCCGGACTTTGCTCTTTACTACTTGATTCCTCGTGATTCTCCAAATACCCATCAACATTCAAATTATTCCCTAAATGTTCATGACCTATGTTATCCTCTGTATGAGCTGCTGGTCGATCCAATGAATTAAATGGTGAAGAGGACAGTGAAAACTCTGAATCCACAGCATTTGGGAAAACATCCGATGAAAGGGTGCCTGTACTGTGATTCTCAATGACATCATCAACTCCAACTTCATTATTTGTTTCTGATGCTGAAAAAAACAAAAATTACACTTGCCAGTTCAAATTCCTTATCATTCCATACAAGTCAATGAGTCAGATCAGCATTAGACTCTTAAAACTATGCTCCAGCTCATAGAGTCTACTGTACATGCCAGACATAAGAAAACTTGTTTGTGGATTATAACACGAAGCCTGTCACTATCTCCTGGCAATTAATGGCTTTCAAAAAAAAAAAGTCACAGGTACATTCTTTGTATGAAAAAGGAAACTACTGTATGGACTATCAACAAAAGGAAAACTACCTGCAAGGAGTGATTTTTTGTCATGCTGTTTTTCCCCCTTTAAATCAAACAAACCAAATTTACTTTAGCACTAACCAGTGAAGAGAGTTATACAGCCCCTCAGCTTCAAACACAGGGAAGTGATTTCACTGCACAAGAGCAAAATTCAAACTAACTTGATGCTGTGATACTTCCAGAGTACCTAAACTTCCAGGCAAAGGAAGAACACTCTTCTCATTGTCTACACTGTCTCCTCAGGAGACAGGAAACACATTGTTTATACTTAGAATGCATTTGGAAGACTTCCATCCAAAGGACTACATGAACTCTGTAATTAACCCCAGATACACACTTAAGCACTTTATTTTCAAGGGGGAGGGATAAAATTGCCATATTTCACAGATTATCCAGCAGCATTTTTACACAAAGAATTTTTTTTCAAGTAAATTACAAAACAAACTTGAAATATTTTGAAGATTCACTTACTTTTGTGAATGGCAATGGGTTTAATAAGGTCAGGCTGTGCTTGTGCAATTGGTGTTGGGGGCCCTTTCCCTCCAATGTGGTTATTGACAACTGGAAGAGTTTGTGGTCGCCCTCTGAGCAGGGGGGACATACAACGTCGCCTTTTTGGAATCCCTTGCATATTTGGTTCTCCAGGTCTTTTATGTTTATTTTGAGGTCCTGATACGAATTCATCTGCTTCATCTATCATCATTCCCTGAAATTAATTTAACAGGAAGAATTCTTAAGCTTCACACGAAAACCACGTAACATAAGGTACAATTAATGCTGTGATATTACGAGAATGCTTAGCATGTGTAAGAGTTATGTACAACATGCCATTATGTTTGGAATTCCAAATTGTCAACCGAGACCAGATAAATGTGCTTAAGGCCCTTATCCAATGTCTGCCAAGTAAGGTAATGGAGTGGGCCATCAAACCGCCTTTTCAGTAATTGCAAAGAGACTCACATAATTAATACAAGAGCTCTGAATGTTACTGGCAGTTTGGTCAATTCTAAGAGATCTGGATAAGAGGGACAGCCAAGACTCTCAATTTTGAGACAAGTATTTCAGTTGTAATACAATTTAGAGACATAATATTGGCTTTCCAATAAAGGCAGCCAATAAAGGCTGCCCTCCATAAGATACTGCTGATTGAAGAACAGTTTTTGAAGAACAGTTTTGAGGCAGTTTGTAGCCATTTCTTTTACAAGTATTTGAAAGGGTTTCTCCAATAGACTACTCAAAGAACAACGTAGGCACTAGCGCACACACAACATCATGTTTTCAAAAAAGCTTTACAGAAAAGTCACCTTTTTGTCCAATTTGAATGGATTGCCAAATGTATGAAGCCTTCGTGGTTGATCAGGATCAAGTTCTCGGAGTGGAGAAGGTATCTGTTTTAGATATTCCTGGTAGTTCCCCATTTGTGCTATAGGTACGCTGTGAACTTGATCTGTCATAACAGAGGAGTTAATTAATACACAGTACTGCTCACATTATGCGAACTTAATCTATATCCATTTCATATCTCCAGTGTTCAGACTTATCATATGCATTAACAAAACAGCTTGCCATTTTTCTTGCCTAACTGGTATTTAGAACACTTCAGGAAATTTGCTCAAAGGAATCAGTACATGGCTTGGAGATTTATCATTTTGACAACAAATAAGCCATAGGTGTCATGCACAAATGTTAGTTTTTCAATGTGTCCCAACTTTGCAACAGAGTAATGGATGGAAAAACAGACTAGGAACAAATTAGAACTAAAACATTACTACAAACAAAAGATACATTAAAGCAAAGTAGGAATGCCATGCTGCACACAGCTTTGACATAACTTTGTCCAATTTTAGCAACCCAAAACTTAATTGTCAAGACTAGCATTTTCCCAGAGCAAGGGTGACTTTTGATCACCATACATCAACAAATTCTTAAAAAAAAACATAGGAGCTGATTTTAAACTTGTTCTAGTTTTAGAGTTGCCAAGCCTTTGATCCGGAAAAAAATACACTAGAATAAACTGCAGAAAAAAACTCCTAATGTGAGTTAATCCTCCTCCCTGAAGAACAACTACTCTGACAAAGTGATAATGTAATGTGAAATGTACAGATGTTAATCTGACCTAAGCAGTGGCAGCACTAATGCAGCACAAGCTTTCACTTGCATTGCCCTTCTCATTCTAGTTATTTCAACATCTTCGGTTAAATGCCACAAAGCAGTGCCAGAAGACACAGGAAAAATGGTAAAGGAATAAATTAGCAACTACTAAACCATTTGCTGTTGGCTCAACAGGCAAAACAATCACAGGGGCAGCACCCAGTGAGCTAGCTTACTTTTCCACTGCTCACAATCCACTTCTACTGAGAGATATAATGTTCAGAACTGCCCTGTTGACTTTATCAGATACATCCATGAAAGTTAGGAAAAACAGTGAACAAAGAACCTTCTGTAAAAGCCCAAGTCCCCTCATATGATCTTAAGGATAAAGCAATGAATCAGCAATCTTCTGTCCTCACCATTTTTTCTTCCAATAAGGTAAGGAAAAAGCATATAAAAAATCCATGCAGTTTAATGCCAAGAGCAGACATCCACCAAGTTTTAAAGAACTAACATTATTTGTTACATTGTTTTTAGCAATGATCACATCACAGGCATACAAAATATAAACTGTTATCTAACCTTCATCTTGTCCTTTGAGGAACTTGCAAGTACTCTTCAATAAATTAGATCTCATTCGTGTTAACTGATCCAAAAGATTTCTTCTGGGTATGTCATAAGCATTTCTAAATGTCTGAGGTTTCAAATCCTATGGTTCCAGTAAATGAAATTCCAATTAATGCCACGTAAGAAACAATATCTAGCATTTCAATGGAAGTATATTGAAAATAACAACATTACACACAGTGGTGCTTACCTTATTCAGCAAAGCTATTTGGAACCCAGCATACTCCTTCATATTGAGGTCTAGAGGTCTATGAGGAATTTCCCCAGTAATCCCCTGTAGCAGATGTTGAAAATCGTTCCTATGTGCCATAGACAGGTTGTGTGATCTGCTTCTGACCTTAATTCCAGTCTCTTGCGCTACCTTTTTGCCTACAGAGCCAATGACTCTATCGGACTCTATTTTGGCCTTAATTTGAAATAAATAAATAAATAAAATTGACAATATGCTCTTAAAAAGGATTAGTCAGACTTATTCATTTTAAATTCCTACCTACAAGATTCAACAATGTGCTAACACACTATGACGACCATAACAGGCTGAGCGCTTAAGGAGTGCTTAATACATAACCACTTAATGCCTACTACAGTTTTAAATATAGTGAACAGTTTTCTGCATATTTCTCCTCTGCTGCCCATTACAGTATCTAAGCACCAATATGCATGCAATGCTTTTATTTTCATAAAATGCCATCATTTGACTAGTAATTCTCTGCAGATCTATCTGTCCTTGTATAATGTTCAGCTGTTCCTGTAGAGAACAGTCAAAACTCTCACAAGACTGATTTTTCCACAACTGTAGTTGCAATCAGTCACCCAATTGCATCAACGTTTTTAAAGCTCAATACAAATAGCCATAGCATTAAAAAATGTGAAATATATGAAAATAACCAACTGGTTGACCAGACAGACCTAGCCCCCAATATATTATGTTAGATTTGTACCAAAATTTGTACCAAAATTAAACATGCTCATAAATGCCAGCTTTTTGACAGAACACGGTGAAAAGAGCCAAAAGGAATTTAGTAACACAACTGCCAATTTTGGTTTTACAATTTCACATAAATTTATAGACTACTCAAAAATTTGAGTAGGTATTGAGAATACTGAGTCTTTACTGGCAGGGCCCATCAGAAGTTACAAAAGTTTTAAGTACAATTTGCAGTGCTTGTCATTACATCTTAGAGGAGTCCAAGATGTCTAGGTTGAGACATCAGTTTAGATTAGTGAGCAATATGACTATGATTTAACAGGATATGCTCTAGACTTTAAGACACTTGCTTCCTCAAATAATCATTTTAATTTATGTTTTAAGAAAAAGCTGGTCCATAAAAACTCATCACCTAAGTTACAAGTACTTGGCACTACTGTTTCTTGAACTTTCAAGTTTACTCTTTTTTATCTTGAACACAAAGCTTAACATGCACAGTTCTAAAGTGAAGGTAGCAGGGCAGAAATGCTTTATCTGGTGCAGGAGCCTAGTCAAAGATTCAGGCACTATTCTGAACACAGTAATTTCAAACAGTCACTTGACATTTCTACATCTGTATCATTATTTGATATTCTGTTATGTCAGTTATCTTATTTACTGAACACTTTCTACTTCATGCCACAAGCCAAAGAAAGAACACTTTGTTTCTGATGCATCAAGCATAAATCCCGATTTCCTGAAAAAATACTAAAACATCTTTAAAGACAGCATTAGGTTTTTTTGGATAAAAGTATGTTACTCTCTGCTAAGTGAAAATACTCCTTAAATAGGAAAAAATCTCAGCTTGTACTTCCATATCTGTCTCTGCATAGTTCAGTTTATAAAGTCTGTATTTAAATGTTGTATTTTCCTTCAATTCAAAAAACCAAAATTATTTTTTGGTAATTGCTTATAGGAAAGTACTAACTTGATCTTTCTGCTCTTTTGTTCCTACAAAGCCACTGAACTTGAGTATTTTAAGATTATCCTGCTATTAGAATAAGTTTTTACTGCTCTTTTGCTTCAACATTACCTGCTGACTCAACTTTTTGAGATATGAAATGACACTGTAACTAAGTCCATATTCCACATTGTCAGCTATAAGGTTTGGTGCTCCCATCATTCTCACAGCTTTCTTCAAAGGCTGAAACATGGAATATATTGCAAGGTCATATTTAACTTTATACATACTTCAACTAACTGTACCCATTTCAAATAGAACCTGAGGTTCTGAAAGTTCAAAAAGAACAACAACAACAAAAAAAGACACTCAGGGCATCATTTTTTGTTATTTTAAAATAGTTCAATTTATACAGAAACAGTAAACAAAAATGTAATTTATATGCAAGTCCCAGTGTATTATGAAATTAAAAAAATTCCATAGCATTCAGGTCTCAGGCCTCCCACAGGACTCCAGTGAAAACAGTCATTATGAATGAAATTTAACTGTTCTCTCTTTAATTAATTCTTATTCTACTTAAAATAGAGACTACATCCATAGTGGAAAGACAACTATAAACCAGAAATTTTAACACAGTCATCTTACCCCAAGATAATAAGGAGGCATTGTCTTCAAATAGCTTTCAAATGACTGACGCCATTTCAACGTAGGCTTTGCCTTGTGTACTTTAAACAAGTCATCTAATGGTTATAAAAAAAGCACAGCAACAAAATGAAAGGCATGGCTAGATAGCATTGCATCTTTTTTTTCTAAAAAATAAAATTCTAGTTAAAGAAACTCTTGAAGAAATGCAAATTCCTCAATGATTAAATTACTACCTAAAAATCAACATATATACAACTAAGCCAAACACACACAAGATTAATGCTGCAGCCAAAAATGGAACCTGATAAATTATCAAACTGAATTGGTATTGAGACAACAGATTAAGAAAAATGGCTCTTAAAACACTGAAAGTGAGATCAAAACATATCTGCAAATGATGACTGAGTAAATCATCTTACACAGAGTCTGAGTCATGAAGACGGACAATCAGAAACAAGTGAAACAAGTTACTGATTCTACCTTTCTCCAGGTGTTAATACTGGCATTAATTACAGTAATCTGCTTAGATGATATCAATGTTTCAGACAATCAGAAACAAGTGTAACTTCTACCTTTCTCCAGGTGTTAATACTGGCATTAATTACAGTAATCTGCTTAGATGATATCAATGTTTCAGTTACCTATCACATAAGCAAATTTGTATGAAGTGGTATTTACCTAGCAATGGAAGCAGGACTGGGTAATTGTAAGGCATCACAAATAAATTCACACAATTCAGCGCTGTACTAGCTTTCAAGTAACCAAAAGGATGACCAAGTTCACTGTATTTTGCACTATTGCTCACATACACCTGCAATAAAATACATTACATTGGATTTACACTCCAAGTATTGTGTTCTGAAACTTTGCATTCTATTTTGATTATAGAGTAAGATATATGAAATACAGCATTTCACAAACTTCAATTCAGCATGCATTCTACTTGCCTGCCAGCAGGTCTGAGGGGATTTTCTTTCCAGGATAAACTGGGTCAGTGGTGAAGGTTCTAATTCATATTTATCAAAAGGCAGTTTGTCAATGACCATCGGTTCACAGTCAGTACAGGAAAATTTCACCACAGGATGAGATGTGCGAGGTGGCTAAACAAAGTATTCCACTGTTAGTAAGGCTGCACAACCATTAAAAAGCATTTGTGCTGTGACAACAGAAGCAATACAGCTTCTTTGAAAACACATGTATTTAAGGAACCTACTCAATACATGATTAATTTACTGTTAATGAGTCCTACACAATTTATGACGTTTACACTGTTGTATTCTGTAGGAATCTTGTTTTCTGAATAAATGACAATTACTTCACATCATTAGTCTAGAGCAATATGCAACTAAGACTTCTTGCATTTACCCAAAAGCTGAACAGATGGGAATAAGTCCTACTGGGGACAAAAAATATCCTCAATGCTACTCTGGGACATGTCCATTTTCATTCCCTACAGACGCAGGTGCTGTACTTCTGCATTTGCTGACTTTGCCAGGAGCTTTTCCTTCTTGGCAAATTTACCAGTTACAAAATTCAAACAATTATAAAGATCAAGAGTAGCGTGAATTCAGAAAAAAAACAACTTTAAAAACTCATATTTTGATCAGGCCTGAAGAAAAAAGGCTATTTAAATTCCAGGAATTTCAGTGTTTGGATTTTTTCAATTTTTTTACCAATCACAGAAAAAAGGCCTTTGTGTCTCAAGTTTCAACTCCAAGTTAACAACTTGGAATTTCTTTTGCCAAAAGGGAGAGCTGATTTTCAGTGGGATGAAAACAGAAGCTCTACACCTTCCATTGAAGGGAGGAATACAAGCTCTTGTACTTACTCTGAGCCTTTCCCCAAGGCCACTAGAATCTGAATAAGAGCTCAACTGGGAAGCCTCCTTCCATATACTTTTTTTACAAAAAGGTAACTCACAAATACACAAGATGCAGCAGAGAAACCAAAGGTCTCTTGGACCATCTTACCACTTTACATTGAAAGCAATTCTTTTATGTCTAAGGTCTAGGCTCTTCATTTTAGGATAACCCACCCAAACAAGTTATCTCCCAAGAGAGCTGGTCTTGCTTTGTGTCTCCACCCTGAGGAAGGTGGGCTCTCCAACCGGACACCAAACAGGAGGCCCAACCAAACGGACGAAGAACAACTCTTTTCAATGAATATGACTAATAAATAGTTGTGGTGCAATTTTTGACCAAGCCTTCAAAGTTAGACTAGAAATAAAAAGGCTACAAAAGAAATTGACTACTCAGACTTCAGAAGTCCAATAATCCTTTGCTGCACAGCAGAACTATTTTTACCTCTGAGCAGTTGAAGCAGCCATTTACATGTTGATCTGCCAGCATAATTATTAGCAGATTTTCATATACATTTAAGAAAGCCTTGGTGGTGTCATTAGCCACAGCAGACTTAAGTTCTTGTTACAATTACTGTTTGAGACCACTCCACTGTGGACCAGGTAACAGGCAGGCAAAGTTAAGTATTTACCTATGAACTCTTAAGCAGACAAAATATGCTACATACATACACACTGATTACAACATATGCTGTGTTTGAACACTACTGCTGCAACAGTACTGAAATACAGGTCTTGAACACTATCAGCAACTTAGCTCCCCAACACTGCATGAGGAAGGTACAACTCAATTTCAATTGGTGTCAACAAGAATTCAGCTGTACATGACAGTGCTTTATAGTTATGAGAGCTATACACACTACAACAGAAAAAAAAATCTCATCTTTTTGCAATTTGAGTAAGTAAACTTCAGGCTTTTCAAAGATTCATTCAATAACTCTTCACTTGGCAAGATTTATTTTATCAATCTTGATTAAGATCTTGAGTAGCGAACTGTAGACTCCACACAGCAAATGGAGGCAGATATGCTACTGACAGTGATTACAAGGAATACACAGGACCAGCTTTCCTACAGAACAGCCTTCAAATATCCACTACATAATGACCTCTTGGTTTTTTTAATGATTACAGAAAATCTACTTTTATTCATATATGGAACATCACATCTTTTAATCAATAAGGCCACCGATGCCAAATGTCAAAATCTGCAAATATGACTAAAATTTCATACTCAATCACTCCTCAACAAAACAACCTCTATTTCAAACAACTTTGTTTTCTAATCAAGAGATAAAATTTACGAGAAGTTCAGTGAGTATTAGTCACATCCGTTTCACAGCAAAAAACCCAGAAGGATTCAACAAAAATCATGAAATGTAGGTAACCATTACACAACTGCAGGATTTCTAATTTAATGATTTCAAATATAAACAGAAACATGAAAATGCATTACACTACACTAATGACTAGTTCTCAGATGAAAAGACAGTGGCATACATTCTTTTATGAAAAAGAATAAACAAATTAATTCTTAATAAATTTAAAAGCTAAGGTTTTCTCAGTTTGGATAAACTGAAGGTGTGGCTACATGGCAGATGAAATAATATTCACTTACTAGAATGAAAGCAGAACTACCACAGGGATTCAAGTTGTCAAGATCACCTTATCTTTTATTAATAACCTCTATGAGGCAATAGAATTTGATAGGCTTTTACCAAGTGCCACCATTTGATATTTAACAGGATTCAAACAAACACTTACATGCATGTTCTGGGTCAAAAATGTTACAGGCAGTTTCCTAATGCTTCAAAGTTACTAAAAAGAAAACCCCATGTTATTTGCTCATCTGTAGTTTATAGGCTTGCATGCATCACTGCTTCCACATTTGCTACAATGCAACACATACATCAAGATTTGAAAAAAATCCTCTGAATAGGAAATACTGGAATATTCCTGCATGCACAAACCCTTTGCTTTATCTTCAGTACATACCAGTGTTGGAGAATTTTGATCTGGCCAAAAGGACTCAGGAACAGGCCAATGTCCTATAGGAACCCCAGTTTTAGGGTTTGGTCTGACATAGATAAGTTTGTGACAGCTGTGCCAAGGTTGGGGTCCAAAGGGTCTGGATATCTCCACCTGCCCATCTACAGAAGAAAAAGGCTTGGAGTCAAAATAGTGTTAAAACTCTGGAACAGTATTAAATAACTTCTGTGACGAGTCAAAGACTTATAATCCCAGAGAAGCCCTTCCTGTAGTTAATATTACTTTTAAGAATAGCAGACAGTTGTCAGTAAGCACGTCTGCAAAGACACAAACTGACAAACCAAATAAGCATTGAATGTTTACAGGATGAGAGCCCAGAAAGGCAATTACCTAGAGCCCTTCATTATAATGTTTCTTTTTCCTCCATTTTCATTAACAGATAACCTTCAAATTCAAGCATTTAAGAAGTGATATACATGACTGATACTGCCATAATTTTTATTGCAGCAAAGTAAAATTTTAAAAAGATCTCTCAAACTTCTCAGTAACATCTAAAGACAGACCTAGCTAAGCCATTTAGAATGAGAAATTAATGCCACACAGGTGCATTTGCTATTTTAACTCTTAACACAGCCACTTTAATACACTGAAGAAAAAAGTATAAGCCCAGGTCTTTCCATATCATGTTATTTACATTTCCAGCTGGTTAAAAACTGCTAAAAACCCATAAATCCCTTTAACTATGCCTGACATTAACAAATGCCCTTAAGACTACCTGAGTGGTTTGACCAAATGCAGAATGTCTGGCAGCTACAGCCAGTATTTTGAGACATTGTAAAATTTCAGACTTAACAGGTGGGTCCTTTTTGTAGTTAAGTCTTTCAAATTGCAATAGTTTCCCTTTTGACTTGATAACTACTATATTAAATTCACTAAGTTACACTGATGACAGTCATCCCTGTTATTTGATACCACAGTGTAAAAAATTTCAAGTACCATCAATGGGTGAGGGATCTGGTCCAGCTTTTTCAAAATTTATTACCACTCCACTTTGCACTTTTTGCACCAATGACTCAAGACATTGATTCAGCATTCTTGGAGAGCACACACAATATGACCGACCTAGAACAAAACAGAATTAAAGCTCTTCAGTGTTTCTGCCCTTATTTTAACTCGCATCATTGAAAACTGTTCAACCACCACACACGTAGATTTATGTATGGATCAGGATCACTGATTTAAAACTTCTCCAGAACACTCCATCTTTTTTTAAGCAGCAAGGCAGCCTAGTGAAGCACTGACAAGTGCCTCATTGGAAATATTTGTATTTTAGACCCTTAATGACTAATTCAAATTCTTGGTGGCATTCATGGAAAATGGGCTCCCCCTTGTGACAGACATCAACACTTAAACTGTCCACAAATTTCAGTCAAAGCACTTGCCTGTACAACCTACATACAGTCAAAGCAGTGGAATCAAATCCTTTTGGAATACTTTTCAAAGCCCTTTGTTTCCTCTTTATCACATCCCCTCTAATGCATTAGAAGAATCATCATACTTTTAAAACTTAATAAACTCAATGCCTGAGTTTGATCTGGAATATAATTGCTTAGATAGTAATAATATGATCTGTAACTGAGAAAAGCATCAATTTTGTAGAATTATTATGCATTCTGAAAGGCATTCTGTGTGCTCTGGAGGGAAAAAACCTGAAACAACCCACTTCCTTCACTTTGGCTTTTTTACAGCATAGTGTGACAGGAATTAACCAAAACTGTACTGCAGAACAGACTCAATTATTACAATTTCTAATTGCAATACCAAGGTGTAGTAGGGAAAAAATTAAGTTTTCTTACAAAACATTTCTGAAGAAAGTAGATTCACTCTTCCAAGATAGGTTACATTTAATTGTCTGTAGCTTTAATGCTTAAGTGTCTTTAGTTTCATTGTAACAGTCTTGAGAGTTTTTACAAGAGTGTAAGAACTTAGAAATCCTTATTCCATGACATGGAATCACACAATTAATTTAACTAAACTGAATTAATTTACACTTTGGAAAGCAATGACTTGTCAAAGGGAACAAGGGCACTCACCTCCTGTGACTTCACACATAGGTGTGATAGCAGAGTCATCCACAGGCACCCCTGTCATCTGTTCTGATTCTGGTGCTGTAATACCAGGCAAACGAAGAACCAAAGCAAATAACCTCTGATCCCATCGAAAGGGCTCCTTAGTCAACTCACTTCCAGGTAAAGGGGAATTGAGAGGTAAATGGAGCTGGAAAGGGATTTAAATCTGTGAATACACAGCTCTTAAAAAAACCCAAAAATTCAGGTTTCATAGCAATGGCAATTCACTCTATAAAAGCACACTTCTCTCTCCACACACATTTAATACCTTATTAACAAAACTGAGACAAGCTTCTAAAGGACAGCACAAGGCATTCAGAAGGTCCTAGATGCTCTTTTCGCATCTGGATGCTTCTCACATTAGTGAGAAAAAGAAAGCTTATCCAAACATTTAACTACAGAAGCCCCGAAAAGACAGATTTGCAGCAAGTAATTCCAAGTTCCAGAAATTTTGATACATCCCTGGCTGATACCACTGTCAGCACAAGCAAAATTTTCATTTCACCTGGAGCACTGCAGCAACAAAATGGGAAAAAACACCCCAAAGCAATGACTCAAGTGGTGCAAACAGTTCCATTAGCACACCAAATACAAGGGAGCTAAGTCCACATGCTGAAGCAAACTCAACATGTCCTCATTTTCTCTCATGCAGCGTTCAAAAAAATCCCAGTTCTCAACCCTCACTCAATGCTAGCAAGAAAGTACTGGTCTGTTCCAAACCTTGATGCAAATCCACGCAAGCACTCGTTATATATTGCCTTCATTTCCAGTTCATAGTGGTTAGAGAATTTACAAAAAGCTGTTAAAAAAGGCTTTTTTGTTTGCTTATTTTAACGAGATAGCTTGAAAGCATTAAAGCCTGATTTCCAAAACCAGATCCTGCAGCTATTTCTAGTTACATAATTGCAGCATCTCATACTGGGAAAAACACATACCTTGTTGTTTGAAAAGCAATCAATTTATTGATATAATCTTGAAACTAAGAACAAACATGACAAAACTACTCAAAATGTGGCCAAGAATTAGAGTATTTTGGACTTTTCAGCATACCTGATGATTCCCCCAGAATTTCTCTTTTTGCTTATGCAAGCACAGAGTACATGTAAGAACAGAACTATTTTCTCCAAATGCTTCATGTTTTACACGAAACTGGTCAAAGGGAAGGAACTCAGTGGTTTATAACTAACTGCTTGACATGCATGTCTTTCCCCTCTATACAAAGAGCCATAACGACTGCCTGACAATGGAAACTCAGTTAAAAGAAGTTAAAAGAAAAGCCACATTCTTAGTTAACAGCCTGGAATCCTGACTGTAAGAAGACTGATTTGCAAGGACTCCACCATCCTCACTTGGGGGTATTAAGGAATTCCATTCAAGCTTTCCTACTTAGATCTGACCGAAGATATACTATTTCCAAAGAGTACATTTGATCTGCAAACAAACCTGTTACACCTATGTAACAGCATTGTTTTCCTTCGGGCAGCATATATACATATTTTTTACTATGAATATTTACATTATATATAAAGTATCCCATTAAATCCTGTACCAACAGTATCCTGAGCTCAGTTCACCTCAAGCTACACAATATTTCATTGGCTCAGCTAGTTATATGTAGAGAACTCCAAAATGAAAGAGTAATCAGAAGCTGGCCATTGCATGATGCACATATTACTATCAGGAAAGTTTACAAACTCTAGGACAAAATGCAAAGCAATCATCGTCAAGTCAAATGTCCTCACCTTCCTTCCAACAATCCAATTCCAGTTAAGTTTACCATCCTTTAACATTTATACTGGCAAAGTTATAGATTCAAATTACCATCTCCAGTTACCTTTTTTTTTAACTGGTATTGTATTACCATAGCAACTGCATACCTAGCAGAAACTAAGATGAGCCTAGAATTCTATATCCTGCATTTCATTTCTTTCCCCACGCACATTTTAATATGAAGGCATGCACACATTTTCCTCTTTCTCAACAACCAGTATGAAACATAAAGGTAGACTGAACTAAGGGAAGGTTATTTACCAGCTGTGGTCTTCAACCTGTATACACACAACAAGTGTCCTCCCAGCTTAGTATTGGAAATCAGCTGTCTTGTCTCATCATTAATTTGTAGGTGCACACAGACGCCCTACCATTCCCAAATACCACAATGATAACGTAACTACACAATCAGTGCGTGCCTTATGCCACTCTTCCTGCCTTCAAAACAACTAAAATATTCCAGAACTACAAGGGGGTGGAAGATAAGAGTGTTCTAGAAGACCTCTTCAGTACAAGGTTATTGGTGAACAGGTTCATTTATTCTCAGTCCTTGTTTCTACCTACATTTATGCAATCATGAGAAGCAGCACAGTCTAAAATCCTGGGTGGGGGAAAAAAAATAAAGAGGATCCTAGAGACCCTAGGATGAAAAAAGCTAGACAAGCTTTAGAACACTACACTGGCAGGGCAGTCTGAGAAAGACCATCATCTTCTGGCAATGGCTGCAAGAGAGGCTCATCCACTACAAGGGGCACCAATAGCACTGCTGAAGTTTTAGTACCCACATAGTAACAGGCAGCTCCATCTCGATATCTCATAAAAGGGCGTTAGAAGACTAGGCACTAAAAAAAATATGCCCACAGTCAACTTCTCTTCTTGTACAAAAATAAAATTAAAAAAAAAAATCTATCGTCAAGTACCCTTCCTTGCATGCTCTTCTGGCACCCAAAAAATGGACAAGACATCTCACATTCCAAGCAAATGCAGCCTTTCATCCTTGAAGGACTAAGACAGGTAACCATTCAAGCCCAGCTGAGAACATCAGCTCTTGACAGACTGAGAAACTCTACTTACAGTCACCAACAACATTATGTTTTCCCATCTTTTTCCATCCAATCCTATGCAGTTATAATACACAGAAAGACAAATTGTTCTTCCATGGGAGATAATTCAAGGAGATCCCAAAGACATCAAGGTCAACTGACACACCATGTCAACACATGATGTACTTGGCCATTCCACAACCAGCATTAGCCACCACGAAGCATTCACTGAGCTGATAGTTACACATTAAGAATTTACACATCAAGAGCTTTGAAGCCCAGTGTCAAGTGCTGTGAACCCAAAAACTGCTGCTAACAGGAATAGTAAAGAAAAGAAAGAATGGGGACATACATTTAATGATATTTGCCATATATTTCTTGCAGAATTCGTTTAGAAATCAGAAATTTTAACTGGAGAAACTATGATAAAAAAACATAATAGAACATTTAAAGTTCCTGATTATTCTTGACAGTAAGCAGAACCTTGCTGTGACACTTGTCACAGCTGTTACAAGTGCAATGCAAGGTGATTAGCTCTGGGAAGGATCAATGTGACAATGCCGAACAGCTGCGGGATGAAGTAGCAAGAAAACCACGGATTCTTCCTGTAATAGCCTCTCCTAACTGGAAGATCAGAGGAACGGCAACATACAGAAACCAAGCAGCATTGTTCATGCTTTTTACTTTTATAATAATTTATCAGAATGCATCAATATGCTAATAACTCCATTTCAGTCTTAGAGACAAGTTTAATGCCACTTAGAGAGTATGTTGAGGGAGGACAAGGGAACATAGCTCAGCTGTTGTAAAACTCCTAAAGTATGTTATTTCATAATGTGAAGAGGAGTAAGAAATCCCTTCAAGTATTTAAATATTTGCATAATGGAATATGAAGAAAGGGCTAAGGCTGAATTTAAGGGATCAGGCCAGAAGCAAAGGCCATTCCATAAGGAATCCATAACATGGGACTAACTAATTAATGATGGTTTGCCAACAGTATAAGCCCATCCCCTCCTCAAGTTCTGACTCGAACTAGTGAGTCCAGGGAAGAGTATGGTCAACAAGCCATACAGAACATAGAATTGATGCTGGCACTTTTCAGTGCATTGGCACTGATGCATTAAAAAGCAGTGCCAGGAGGGACAGAACTGGAAGTGTTACTGACTTGTGCAGGTGGAGAAAACTGCATAGACAACATAATTTCTGTTTTCAGTCGGAATAACCACAACCATGAGAGACAAAGCGGCACTCACTAAAGGGCAAGGCTCTATCTGCAACATCCATTTTAAAATCCACAAAGGAACAGGACATCTGAAGAATTCAGCAAGAGCTCTGAAACAGGGTTTAAGCTTGACTGCTTCATGCTAAGGCAAATGACAGTGTTCCCATAGTGATAAACTGATTTCATTGGTAAGAATGCAAATATTCACCTGAATGACAAAGCTTTGAGAAAACTTGCCTCCAGGTTCCATGCTGGCTTCACAGGCTTTCAAAAAAAAAACCGCAACAAAACACAAAAGCCCAACATTGTTGGTTCTCTTGTACATATGCCTTAAAAGAACTAAAAATACACTGCCTCAGTCAATGCTAGGAAGTAAAAACACTGTTGTCATAGCCAGTGGGATATGATCACTTCCAACATCAACTCTCAAAAGCCTCTCCGAAGTCAAACCCAAAGAACAGAACAGACATTTGAAAGTGGTTGAAAAAGCTTTGTTAGTGAACCAAAGAGGAGCAATGAACTTCCATATCTCCAGGGTGGTGCTCCTGCACTAATTCTAGTTCACTTCTGCCTGTCCAACTTGAGAGGTAACTGTCAAGGAGACTCAAGGTAGACTAAGAAAAATTCTGATCAGTAGCATACACACTGACAACTGCAAAAGATCACCCCTCAAAGACAGTAGTAGCACCCTTCGATGCTTTGTTCCTCTTCTCTTTGATAGTGTTAAGAATGTTTCTACCAGTACACCTATGGCCAAAAAAAGGAGAAAAAAAAAATCACATCCTTTGCTGGGTATGAAACATATATCCAGTATACACATATGGAAAAGCATTCAAACTTGTTTGCATTCAATTTTTGTCTTGCAGGAAGAACAGTGGTCACTTTGCCTTCTGGAGGAATGGAACAGCTTTACATTGGCTCATTTATAACAAAAAACCCCACATGAATTCACTGTTATTAGAGCAAATTCTGCATTTCTAGAATGCAATTTAACAATCACAAAATTGTAACACTGTGCCTGATTTGACATGATCACAACACAAACTCTGGTTGCAGCACACACTTATGACACACACTTATCAATCAGCGCTGCTCATGAGCCAAATCTCAATTTAGTAGATTTACACAGCCACCTTTGTCTCAACCTAAGTTACAGCAGTTTAAAGACGTGAATGTATGACCAAATGATTGCCTGCCTCCAGGAAAACGTCTTCTTGTGAAGCCTAAGATGAAGAAGTTGTACTCACAACTTATTGTATTTAAAAGGAAAAGGAACAAAAAAAAACACTAGCTGGCAATAGAAGTCCTGGTTCTTGTTGTAAAAGAAAGACCTTAACTACTAAGGCAGCTTTCTTACCTAAATCATTCTGAGTAACAAAGATGAAAGGAAATGTAACAGAACCATAGCACTGCGTACACCAGAAGGAGCACATGACAGTTACAGCGTCCAGAGGCTTTTCACTGCTCAGGGCCTTGCCCAATGCAGCTTTTACCATCTCCACAACCACCGGACAACATGTCCAGTGTTTGATCACCCACACAGCTAAAGATTTTCTTGATACCTCATCAGAATTTCCCATGGGACAACTTACAGCTGGTGCCTCTTATCTCAGTCCTGGGTACCTCCAGGAAAATACAAGCTCCCTGTCCTATTCAGCTGCTGCAGAGGGTGGTAAAGCACTCCCCAGTCTTCTCTTCTGAAGATTGAACAAACCCAGTTTTCAGCCTCCACCCAGAGGTTATGAGTTTCACCCTCTGAGCACCTTGGTGTTCCTCACACCAGTATGTCAGTGTCAGATTTTACAAGTCATCTGACAACAGAGATTCTTCTCCTCAATGAAGGACTCACACAGCTGAAAGATTACCCAAAACAGTATTCTGCTGCTAACAGCACTGTATGTTGCAGAAGACTCTAAAAGTGTCAGATTACTCTAATCAGTATTTTGGACTGCACACATTCTATCACAGAATTCATCTGAAAATAGCTTAATGGGTAGAAAAAAGTATGATGGAAGGGAGATTTCACACAGATAACCTACTTGTTACCATGGATCCAGGTATTCCCTTTCAGTTACTAGCTATGCTTGTTAGGAGTCCACATAGAATTACACAATCATTCAACTGTCTTCAAGTCAGACCTATTACAAAAACCACTCAAATACCACTTGTCATACAGACAAATTCTGTAAGTGCTGTAAGAATGCAATATAATACATTATTAGGAGAAATGTGAGTAACTAATGAACAGCAAAGTACAAGTTAATCTGTACAGTCAAATGTGGTACAGCACAGGCAAAAGTCTAAATTCCCCGCTTAAGTTTTAAAATGGACCTTTGGATATTAACCTTTTTCCTGAAAAGGAAATGAGCTTAGGGATTTCTTACAGTCTGTTTTGGTTTTTGGTTTTTTTTTTTTTACTACTGCATGGAATGGGCATTGAGCTGGCCAGACCAATCCTACCACTTCCATCTTTTTAAGGAAAGAACTCAAAACAGCCAGTAAGTTAAAATAGCTCAATGCCTCAGCATTTGCTGTACCTCTGAGTTTGCCAGATGTCTGAGTGGGTACTCCATATATCAAGATCTTGATTTTAAACTGCTCTACAGATTTAACTTGGAATATATTTCTTTAGTTCTTACCTTGAATTATAAACACTACTGATTTGATTATAATCTTTTTAAGAACTCAGTGTGAAAGTAGTATATGTTTCACATACTCTCTAGTGGCGACATCCTTTGAGAAATCATTACTTTATCTTGGGTCTGTACAAAAAGAACTTATATCAAGACCAATTAAGGACAGACATGCTTTATAGAAATCAATTTTTTCTGCTAACATAGTTTAAAAGCCATGAACTCCTTAGACAGAAAGAGCAAACTCATTCTATTAAACAGACCAACAATTGCACCACAGGTTTCTGTTACATGAAGGAAAAAGTTATTTTGTTTTTCATAGTACTAGTGCATAAAATTACTTGAAATTAAAATAAATCACTTGAAGTTAATCTAGACACAAGGACATTTAAGCTATTAATGAGCATTCTTCTGAGGAGCCACTAATGCTCCTACTGTAAGTAAACAGTATCAATGTTTAAACAATATTTAGTACACATTACTGTAACCAGAGGTTAGATCTTACCTCTTCCTGTATCCCACTGGTAGTAGTTAATTTACTTCCATCAGTAACTGTTATAATTATTGCTGGCTCCAGAAAAAAAGGGTTTCGTCCCTAAGAGGAAAAAAAGCAGTTACTTAAAATGACGCAACAAACTCTGTTCAGCCATTAAATAGCCACTGATATTGACTAACAAAACAACAAAGCTTGAGGTATTTATTCTCAGGTACCACATATTGCAGCACAATGGGTTTCTGAGCCTTTTTACACTCAGATCACGGAATGCTAGACACTTAGCATGTCTGTATTCAATGAGTTCATACAGAAACAGCAAAAATAGTTAACACAGGACTTCAAGAATAAGGCTTGCCAGCATATTCTGACAAACTAGCAGCTGTTTAGATAAGCAACCATCTCCTCAAAAGGTACTTGCAATTCCCCCTATTCTGGGATGGATTTTGTGTGATTTAATTACTTTGTGTCCAACCAAAGTATTTGCATAGTATCTTGTGATCATGACCCCCAGGTTAAGAATTACTACTCTATGTATTAAGACTGCTATAAATAGCACCCATTCCATTCTGATCAATGTGGTTCAACATGCATACACAAAATCTACTTCAGAAACAAATACTTGAAAAATAGATAAACTCTCTATATGTATCATTTAGGACAGAAACATATACAAGGCAAGATATTCCAGGATCCCAGCAAGACCAGCAGCTAGCCTAGCTGTAGCAAAAACTTGAGGTCAGTTATTGGTATTCCTTTATCTGCTGCCAGTAATCTAGGAGCTTTCTGTGCCTTCTGAAGAAGAATTCCAAAGTATTGCACAGATACATCAACTCCAAACTTAAGTAACACATTTCACTCCACCTAGGATTAATAATGGACTGAATAAAAGTCACCACAAGATTTTGTTTAGTAGGTCCTGTTCTTCTCTTGTTGATCTCAAGGCCTTGTTTTTCTTCCTCAGGAAACAAAGAAAAATGTAACTAAACCCACAGCCTAGTTCTGCTTATAAAGACAAACTATCTCATGAATGGCTGCGATTTACTCTAAAAACATGGAGGGAGAACTAACAGGTTTTAAAAGACCTTTCAAATCCATTTTTAGAACCCATTAAATATAAAATACCATCTACTGATTTTGTGCTTTGAACAGAACAATTATTTAACAATCTCAAATATATTTGGTGAAGGGTATCTAGTTTGACTACTGTGACAGCACCACTTTCATAGTGGTCAATATTTTCCCAAACCTTAGTGAAAAAAAAAGATTAAAGGCTTCTTTTCTAATAGCATACCATTACTACAAAAAATAAGCAAAAATCAAATTAAAGCAAAGATCAATCTCTCCCACGAAAGCCAAGCTACTTTGTAATTTAATTTAAGCAATTACTCAAAAGGATTTAAGGACCCTGAAAACACTCAATTTTAATTAAAATAATTTCCTAGGAGTATTTAGCCTTATTTAATTCTTAACAGTGACAGTATGCTTTTCTACCAACTAACAGTTTACCATAACTGCTAAACATCAGCTGGAAGCTAATTACATTGCATTGAAATAACACAGAAAGCAGGGTTTGTAACTAGATATTTCTCATGAATACTGACCATAAAAATACTTGAACTCTACTGCTAATAAGTTATTGTAAAAATGAATTAGCAACTGATAAAAATACAGATTTATGTCAAAAGCAATGCAAAGTTAATATGCTGGTGCAATTTCAAATACAAGTATTAAAATTTCCATTTCTGACAACACCTTTTATCTGGATATCCTCATCATTTGAAAAAGTTTTTTATTCCTTAACTATACTTTGTCTCAATTTTTCCCATCCAAAGTTTAAGCCTTATACAACTGGTGTTAGAATGATCATGAAATTATAAGGAAGGAAACAAGAGTTGCTACACTTGAGCTCCCTATGGAACATGTCTGAGGGAGAAATGCCTTTATCCTCTGGCTACTCTGTAATTTCACAAGCATTTTACATATACAAAGGACAGTCACTCACATACTAATAATCAATTGTTTTCAGAAAGATAATTTAAATGCATCATGGAAGAATTTTGGCAAAAAAGCCTGAGATTTACTAATTTTGACTAAAGATTTCCATGTCATTACTTCTTAAAGACCACCACTGATTCTTCTGACCCTGCTCCTCATCTTAGTTATACAAAGGCATTCAAAACCAATATTAAGTCAAGTATTCCTCCAACAAAATCCCCTCTTATTTATGTAAGCTCTCAACAGTCAGACACCATAAAATTGAATTCCAGAAGACTTACCAATTCTTTTAACTTAACTGCAGCACTTCTGTCAACAACTGGTTGAGAACTTTATTTCTATCTAATTAATCTAATTCTACAGTAATCAAATTCTATTTCTCTTCCCCTAGAAATACTTTTTTTTTTTTAAAAAAAAACAGCATTTACAAATCTTGGAAATATCAGTCTTCAAAACACATAGCAACATCACTGACTGTAAATGTATAGGTAATTAATTCAGTCCAACCCAATTATTTTGGATATGCAGAGGAACAGTGAGTGACAGGGTACACTACCATCTCTTCGGCAGCTTACAGGTATGCTGCAATGCACTGGGGAAAGCATCTCAGGATAGTAAGGTATAAATAGTAAGCCTGCTTACAACTTACTCTGATAACTAGCTAACCAGCATGAGGTTTTATTTATTTCAGAAGCAAATTCTTTTCAACACACTGCTTTTCCTTCTGAAAGTTTGTAGCAGTGGTGAAAAAAGGAAGAAGCACGTACAGTTTTAATGGCTGACCACCCTGTAACAGGGTACAAGGAGGATTTTTTCATTCACAATCTACATTTTCAAGAACAGACACGCACCAAGACAACAAAAAGCCTACAGACCTCTTCTGGAAACAAAGTTACTTAAAACTCAGCAACAATACCAGGGAAAGTTTGCTTGACTAAAAAGGAACAAGCAAGAGATCAAAACCTTATAACTAACTTAATATTACACAACACTTCCATTTGAACCATTTGACAGCTTCATGACTGCTCCAAAACACAAAGCAGCTCAGCTGCATTGGTTGCCTTTCCCTTGGTCTCCAGATGAAGCAGTTCAGTGCTCAGATAACACATAAATACAGAGCACCACTGAGCTCCACACCACTCACAAGGGGTCACAGTAAGAGGCATCCCATGCCACCCCAGCTTGTGTGATGCTCTCAGAGGGAGCCCCACATCAAGCCAGAAGTGTATCAAATTATCAAGACACATTATTGCCTGGTTAAGGCTCTCACAACTAAGAATTCACTCCCACTGGCAAGTTTGAAGCTTAGCATCACATTTCAGCGTGACTAATTAATACACATATGACTTTTTTCTTTCTTCCAAGTGTAGACGTAAAGCAGTTCGAGATCAATTCTGACCTTTACATATGCAAGTATACAATATTTTATACGCAGGAAGAGAAGATAAAGACTACTGTTATCTCAAAGCATATATTTAAGTATTAATTTCAGAGTTAGAAATGTTGTAGAACTGAAGAAATGGATGAGGTAGACATGTGACCAAAACACACCAAATCAGAGACTAAAAATGACACAATAGGCAACTACTACAAAAATAAGTTTTTAGTAGTACAGAAACTTCAAGCCCAAGAAAGACTGGAAGCTGAAAATAGACATGAACTGGAGTGAATATTTTTTAAGAGAAGATATCACTAAGAACTGGAAAAAATGCATTTTGAGATCACAACAAATGTCTAAAATGTACACTTCCATTTCAGTAAATCACAAAACTCTGAAAGCTGTATTGTACATCTATCTCCCATTACATTATCTCAGCAGAGCCTTTCATTTTCAGAAGTATCAGCCCTAACTCAGTAAAATTTAGACATCTGACCAGGAAATACAAAATTGCACTACCAATTTTTTAATTCAGTCTTGGTTTTTTATAATTTATAAGGTCAAGCATCTCAAATTCTCCTGAGAATCTGTGAGCAACCACTGTTCAAAAGCAATAGCTTAAAATGAAATCTAGAAGTCAGAATGACAAAAATTATTAGCTTTAAAGCTATTTTTTAACTGATAAACAGCTTCAAAAAACATAAAAACACTGAGCTTGAATTTCAAACTAAAACAGATGGTCCAAATCCATCACAGTTTTCACTTTTTTTTGTTTCTTGGAAACTTCAGTTACGCTTTAGCGAAATCATGAAATGTCTAAGACATTAACATTTATTGGAGACTTTCCCCTTCATTGCTCAAGGCAGAACACTATCAGTCAAGAACACAGAGGTATTAACAACTGTTTTGATCATCAGTTACATAAGAACCGCAGAATCTTGTGCAACTCCTTACTTGTCGCACTCACACTTTCAGCAGCTTTGGTTATCTTCTATTATCCCCACAGACTTCATCACTGTAGTTGACAAGTCCTACAGAACTAAGTGTATTTCATGCTTTTGCACAACTGATTCCCAAGTCACAAGCACAGGTGAATACACTGGCATCACAGCAGTATTTCAGTCAATTTATAGCTGGCAATTAAACTCTACAAAAATTACTTTGCCTTTATGGATTTTCAAATGCATGTGGACACACACAACAACCATGCAAATACATGTAATGCACCACAGTACTAAGGAAAGAATATGCATTTGACCTTGTTAGATTAGTAAATTCTTTTCTATTACTTCAGAAGAAGCAAAATGCCTTTAAATTGAAGAGTAGCTTCATCTGGGAAAACCATCACCTAATATTTAACACAAATGCATTGTGAAACTTTAATCTATCAGAACACAAGGAAGAATATGCTATGGGTGGGGGAGTGCAAAAAGGGCAGTCCAATTCTACTACAACATTTGCATTGATAAATCTGACCTCTCAACATGATATGCCACCATAAAGAGCACCACAATTCTGTGGCCAGACTGAAAAATACAGCACCACTAAATTCTGTCACAGTGTTATCTAATTGACTGAACCTGCATGATAAAAATAATTTTGCAATTGTATTTATTTACTATGTCTGTTTTAGAACTGAAATTGATTCTTTGAAGTGGAAGCACCTCAGTGTCAGAGAAACTTCCCTGCTTTCAGCCTGAAGGAGTAAGAGCTGAAGAACATACAA